ATCGCCCTGATGACGGAGGCAGTATGACCTCTGAAACGTTGGTTAACATCGACCAGACTACACAGCGCAATAACCCAGAAGACAGAAACCTTCATACTTATCGCCCTGATGACGGAGGCAGTATGACCTCTGAAACGTTGGTTAACATCGACCAGACTACACAGCGCAATAACCCAGAAGACGGATATCTTCAAATAAAATTTAATTTAAAATTTTATTTATATACAATTGTGATTATACGGAAAAATCACGAATAATTAAATTTTAATTCACAATATGACGCAATTATATCAACTTATGAATACATATATTGTTTTCCCTGTTTTCATATCTGATGTCGATACGGCATTCTGGGGAGAGAGAAAATGCCTGACCTCGACTGACTGTGTGGTAACTCACGCAATTAAGCACAGAGAACATGTTCTTTGCTGTGGGCAGATCATAAATTTAGTTCCATCACCACGTTTCATCTCTTATTCTTTTCAAAGGCCCATCTACGACTAGAACTAGCAAGTAGATACTTGTCCTCAGCCTACGTTTGTAATCTCCGTCGTTAATTCTACGTGGCCCGCCCATCTCATCCTTACGAAATGTTACACATTGTGAAGCTCCTCATTAGAGCAATCTTCTCCAATGTAAACAGAAACCGATTAGGTCTTTGTTACGAAAGCTACAGGTCAGCTCTGCCTTGTGAGATTTTAGGTCTTCGCGGAGGTTACGATGTTGATCACGTCTTTCTAAGTTCTGTCGCCTTGTTGACTGGTCGGTAGATGCCAGCGTTTCGGAGACGAGTGCTGTAACCATCTTCAGGGCTGAATTGAGCGTGGCGGGGATCAGAGGGGTTATTCAGGGTGGCAGGGAAGAGAGTCTGGAGGAATGAGATAAAGATTGTTCCGGGCGCCCGGCGGTCACGGCGATGAACATGCTGAGATATTGTTCTTCTGGATTGTAACTCCGGGGCTGAAGATCTAGGAAGTATGTTCCTCGTAACGTCGGTAGGTCATCTGCGTACCAATTCGCACGGCGTTTCCATCCAAAAGAACCAAACTCGACGGCACATAAATCATTTTTGTCATACTCTGATGACGGAGGCAGTATGACCTCTGAAACGTTGGTTAACATCGACCAGACTACACAGCGCATCAACCCAGAAGACAGAAATCTTCATACTCTGATGACGGAGGCAGTATGACCTCTGAAACGTTGGTTAACATCGACCAGACTACACAGCGCAACAACCCAGAAGACAGAAATCTTCATACTCACCGCTGTGAGAACCTCAAGTCTTACATTTTTGTAATTATTCGTATCGTTAAATTTTGCGCTATTAGGTCTATTGTAACCTTACGACAAAGGGATCTCATAAATAGCAAAACTGGTGTTCATTCAACTTGAAAATTGCTTACCATTGATAGTCTGCAAATAAACAGAATATACAATTTACTATTCTTCAGCTAGGCAAAAATGTGTCAGAGCGTCACGGCCTTCCCCTTCGTCTTGGGGAAAATGTTTCGTCCCTTCTTGAAGAACTCTCTTCCCTCAGATACAATACACGGGTCATTGATATTCTCCCAAACCGCTTCTCTCTTTCAGGCAGATATGCCGCCTGCCAACATCACAAAGGCGGTACAACAGTCTGCCTTGTGGAGTATGTCGTTGGAATGACCGCACTGTGTCATCTGCTTCCTACAGCCAGTATCAGAGCTGCTAAACAGGCCTGTTCTCCGAACGTCTGTATTGTGGAGATGTAATGTTGTTTGCTGAAACATGTTTCCATCCGATGCTCTTGAAACTAAGTAATCAAAGACGGACAAACGACAAGCCGATACACAATTAAAAGACAACCTGCAAGATCTTCACATCTGGCATTTATATTTCTTCTCCAGCTTCAACAGATTAGGCATGAATCCGTTTAGACATTTATTATAACTCCTGTGCATAAACAATTGTGGAGATGTAATGTTGTTTGCTGAAACATGTTTCCATCCGATGCTCTTGAAACTAAGTAATCAAAGACGGACAAGCGACAAGCCGATACACAGGATCTTCACATCTGGCATTTATATTTCTTCTCCAGCTTCAACAGATTACGCATGAATCCGTTTAGACATCTATTAGAATTCCTATGCATAAACAGGGTAACACAGAGAAAATCGGGTAAGCGTCCATGTCTCCGGCGGTGTTCGAACTCACCGTCCCAGTATCTCACTGGCCAACATCCGTGGCTTAATCCGCGCGGCCACTTTCATGACTCTGTATTTATCTCTTTTCCAGAAATTTAGATGATTTCGGGCTCTTGTGAAGATGACATTGAACCTCAGGAATTTATAAAAGGCTGGGACCTTCTCGGCTAGCCGAACGACCGGGTTCGATTTCCGGCAGGTGCTGAGGAGATTTCTTGTCATCGCCTCCAGACCGGCTCTGGGGGCCACAACTCTTATCTAATGGGGACAAGAACTACTTTCCTCGGGATAAAATGGCTGGGGCGTGAGGCTGATATCTTATCTCCAACTGGCGTCGAGGTTAGGAGGCTAAGAATGCGTGTTATAATTGGTCTACTAAGTATAGGAGAATGATCTTGTAATAATTAAGTGACGCAGAGCCCTCGTCCGTCGTACATGTAGTCGATATCGTTTGTGGACTTGTAGATTTTGAAAAAGCGTGCTGTCTTCATCGTCAGGGCCGAATTGTCCGAGAAGAACTTCGACATCTTCACCGCAGCCCACAAGATGAAGATAGTATGTTTCTCCGAAACGTTGGTATCCAGTTACAATTCTACACGGCGTCACGACCCAGAAGAACTACGAAGACGTCTTTACCGCAGCGATAACCTCAAATCTTAACGTGGTACGTAGAGGTTCCGCTATAATTCGGCTCGTCGACACTGTGCCGTTCTTCAACGCTAAATCGAAATGTTTTCCCACGCAGAAGCCGGGCACGTTCTCAGGTGGCAAACCGAGGTACGACACGTTCAGAACGAGCACTGACTCTGATCGTGGTGCAGTACTCCTGCGAACTGTCCAGTTCTTCAGGGGTGTGCATTCCGATGAAGCGATTCTGAATTCCGCTGAGTCCCACATCTCACAGAACAACCGTCTCTCTAGCGACGTGTTACAAAATTGTACTAGCCCCGTTGAAAACATCAGCTGTAAAGAATGTTTATATGACAGTATCGTTACTCGGGGTTCAGTCGTTAGCTTCTCATCGCGGAGACCCGGGTTCGCGCCCAGAACAGTCTATGTGTGATTTTAAGTCGACAAAGTGGCTCTGGGACGGATTTCTCTCCGACTCCTTCGGTTTTCCCTTCTCAATATCATCCCACTGCGGATCTATATTCACTCATGTATTATCTCGGGAATGGGCGTCTGCTGTCTGCGGGCGTGTCACAAAAGAATTGAATTATTCTTTCTATATCGTCTTCCTGTGACCAGAGCATCCACAGTTTCTTCACACAGGGACACAATGCCGGAATTTGATAAAGTCAAGTTTTCCAATTCATCGTTAGATCTAATTCAAAATTGTAAAACAATTATATGCAGGCCTATGTTACAAAATTGCACGAAAGGAGCTGGCGATTCATTTTATCTGATCAGTTATTATGTATTTCATTATAACAAAGAATTGAATTGAATTGAATTATAAGGAATACCCTTGAACCACGAAAGCATATCAGAGGACTTTATGTTTTCTGTTTTACAAATTGTTGGCTGCGTTACCACGGCTAACATTAACGCTTCGCAGCTGTGCACGTCTTTCGACGAACGTTGCATAATATATTTTACGTCGACTGAAAAGATATTAAACATGAATTCCACGCCGTCTGTGAATCTGCTAGTCAGTGTGCCAGCCGGCATCCTCGAATTAGCATTTGTTTCTTAGTTACGGGCGTTTTTGTAGTGCATTACACCG